CCCGTTCGGCTTACCTAAAAACCGGCTTGTTCGGCTTATTTTTTCAGCCGGAACAGTGCTTTTCTCTCATAACAATTCAGCCAGAACAGTGTTTTTAGCCAGTTTCAGCAAGCCGAACGGAGCCATTTCCATCATTGGCCTCTCTTCTCCCCCCCAAAGAAAATTCCTTCTGATTTTTTGTCTTGCCCATTTAAAATGTCCTATACCTTGTAGTATAAAATTTGACAAAGCTAAATATGAAGCCCTTAGTTTTTCTCGGTTTATGTTTTAGTTTCATCCACTCATGTCAGCTCAATAGAAAAAATTAACATACAGGTCTCTCAAATTCAGACTTGCTCTCATCCCACCTATATTCGGAAGCCACCCTATTTGTTTGCAAAAAGACAACATCTCGTACAAGCACATGAGCATAATCCATATCATGCAACATAGATTGTGACATCGTGACCCTTGACATTGTTAGTTCATTTGCTAGCCAAAGTTTGGCAAAACTATGAACAGCCAAACTGCTGACAAAATTTTGTCGGCTTGGTGGCGAACCAATTTTGGTAATTGATACAACCCCGTATAAGCGATCCATTTTTTTTCTCTGTAAATCACTAATCCACTAAACCTATAGTAGTACATCTCACGTTGTCATGTTACATTATCTATGTACACGGCACCGGCAGGCAGCAGCCTCTCTAGTCTCATGTTACATTGCTAGCTAATAAGCGGAGGGATATGAAGATTCGATCAATCCTTATTAGCTCTCGTCGCCGTCGACGGCCACAAGCGGCAGATCCACCTCGTGCGCCCACTCGACGCAGCGGGTCTCGAAGTGGCGGCTCCTCACTTCGTTGGGCAGGTAGCTCACCCAAGCCTTGAGCCCTAACCGCCAGCGCAGCGTCCTCCCTTCCACTTCCCTCCCCACCCTCCACATCATCTCCTCCGGCAGCTCGTCGCCGGCCACCACCAGCCCTCGCATCTTGCTGAACGCCCGCCCAGGGCCGCCATACCGCCTTCCCATGATGCCGTTCCTCGGGTCTGCTGCCCTGGTGCCGCCGGGGCGCCACGCGGACACCTCCGTCCCGGTGACCGGGTCGTAGAGAACCCCCTCGAACACGCCGGCGCTGCCCTCGGCCTCCTGCTCCCAACGCCAGCTCCTGCTACGCGTCCGCGCCGACGAGCGCATCTTCGCCTTGATTCTTGGCGCGACGCCGCCGCCGTTGGCTGGTTTGGTGGCGCCGGCGAAGGCGCCCTTGACGGTGCGCGTCATCTCGACGTCACGTTCGGGGTTCCCCGTGGAGCGGCCGAGGCTCGGGCCGGTGGCATAGGACGCGCCGAACCGCGGGCCGGCCCAGACGCTCTCGCCGTCCATGACGTCGTTGTCGACGCCGGCGTCGTCTTCTTCTTCCCCGTCGTTGCCGCCGCCGTCGCCGTCGTCCTTACGGAACGCGAGGCGCGCGACGCGTACCCGGACGTTGTCGACGCGCACGGAGACGGTCACGAACCTCCTGTCGCGCACCCGCACCGCGTACTCCAGCTGCGCCACGGCCTCCAGCTGCTGGTGCGCCAGGCCGTACCGCAGCGCCGGCTCCTCGGGCACCTCGTGCGGCGACGCCGCGATGGACGCGGACGCGGGGCCCGTGACGACGCGCGGCATGGCGAGCACGGGCGCGTAGCCTTTCAGGACCCAGAGGCCGTGCACCTCGGTGGCGTACGACAGGCACGCCGCGGCGGGGAGCGCGCGACGACGACGCGGTGCCGCCGGCGACCCGGCAGCAGCAGCCTGTATCTCCCGCAGCAGGCACCACTTGGCGAGCATGTACCCGAGCGAGCGCATGAACCGGCCCTCGACGTCCTGGCCGACGGAGCGCAGGAACACGGCGAGCGCCGGCCGGCACTCGCCGAGGCCGCGCTCGATCTCCGCACCGAGGTCTCGGAAGAAGAGGTACCCGGCGTCTGCCGGGGCGTCGAGTGCGCACAGCCAGAACAGCCGCAGCAGAAGAGCGAGCGAGAAGAAGGCCGCGGCGGGCGCAGAGGGATCGGCGCCACCCGCCCCCACGACGGCGGAGACGGTCTCCGCGTCCACCTTGGCCTCGGACGCGTCCCCGCGGCCGAGGTCGTCAACGCCGGCCGCGCCCAAGCACGGGGAGTACGGAGAGAGCGCGAGCACCTCGTTGAGGAGCTGAACCAGAAGCTGCACCCTCGGCGCGATCGGCGAGGACGCCGCGAAGCGTTCGGACGCCCACAGCGCGCGCGCCTCGCCGCCTGTGCCGTTGATGGCGACGGTGAAAGCGACGTGCAGCGCGGGCTCGCCGTCATCGTCATCGGCGTCGCCGGCGGGAGACACAGAAGCAGCAGCAGTTGTGTCGGCCTGCAGGACGATGGAGGCGGCGAGCGGGAGTGACCATGGCGGCGGCGACGGTGTGTCGGGCCCGCCTTCACCACGAAGAGGAGGCTGCGGCAGGGAGGCCAGCCACGGCCACGCGTCGTCCATGGGTTGTGGCTAGCGTAGGGAGGACGGGTACCGGTGCACCGTACGTGGCTGTGGACTCTTGTGGTGGCGAGGGCGAGGGCGAGGGGCGTATGGCCCGTGTAGTTCCTGCCGGGTGGTGGTGGGTGCGGTTTATGGCGCGGAACTGAGGTTTGGATTGTGGTCTGTCTTGTGGAGGAGTGGTGGCCACAGAGTAGTGGACGGCTACGAGCTGGACCTCGTCACGACTCACAGGGGGTGCTCCATCGTACTTACTACTACTGATGAAGCCCCAGGAATGCCTAAAGTTGCAGGGATACACAGTGATTTGCTGTGGATCACTAGCTTATAGTCTGCAGAGTGAGGCGGACCTAGTTTTGTTGTCGCGGAAGAAATGTTCAGCGTAGCTGCTGATAGAGACTGACAGAACTGGGCAACTGTTATCTGCTCTGTTAAATAAAGGTCACCTGTCCATTTTGGGCGCATAGAACATCTCGAAAACAATGGGCCGATCTAACAGGATTTCCACTTTTCTCCTGTTTGCTCCTGTCTCAACACCTAGAAAAATCCACAACCGCTGAACTGGTAAGGGTTGCAGACACTGATTTGCGCCGTGGGAAGCTGGAACACATGATACTGTCGCGCTGCCGTCCCCCCCTGTTGGCCCCCGTTTCCTAATGGTTAAAGCAACTCCATTTCTATATACCCTGTTGGCTTGAGATTTTTGCCGCCCCCGCCGCTGCGGCTGCAGGATACACCTCTATGTGTCATTGTTACTAAGAGCCAAAGACTGTACCAAAGGAGTGCTTTATGTTTATGTTCTTGCTAGATTAGTGCTAAGACATTTGAATTTGGTTTCCCAAATGTTTTTAGCCTTGCTAAAAATACATGTACCACTTAAATTCATTGACTCCGGGTTGATGTAGCGTGGGCAGCTCCGCGCCTCCGCCCCTGGCTGCTGGCTGTTGCGTCTGCACGGAACAAGCCCATAGAAAAAAAACATCACACGTCCTCTAAAACCAGGTGAATTTTTTTTATGCATTAAAAAAACATTGTTTTGTCATGGAGGTTCCATACTACCAAAGTAATTATGTCCAACCCATCGACCTGAACCAACCCACTGCATGGTCAAAACAAAGATAATTGAAGTGACATATCTTCCTTCCAATCTCGGTACAAAGTTGCAATCAAAATGCAGAGCGCATACAACTTTCCGGGCATGTTTGGATTCTGAGAATCGGGCCTTGAAATTACTTTTTAGGCCAGCTTGTTTGGCTTGGCCCATGAAGTAGAAATTTTGATTCCAAGCCTTTCCATGGCTCGATTACTGGCTGTCTCACCCCCGACTCGCCTCCATCCCCAAGCGCCACCTCCTTGACTCACTTTATTTGCACTCTCACCTCTCCCACACTGCCACACACAATGGTGACTTGGGTTTCCTAGAGCTGACCCCTCCATTGTTCCAAGCTAGAGTCCACTTCATACAGATTTTGATGAGACGCTGGCTTTGTTGTCGTTCCTCGGCTATGCATGTCCACAGGCCGACAACCTCTGGTAATCCATTTCTCTAGAGTTTTCTGTGTGAGTGAGAGGAGAAATCGTACTTTCTTTGTGTAGAGAGATACTCCCTCCGTCCATAAATAAGTGTCATTCTCGCTTCTCAAGAAATAACTTTGGCTAATTTTATATTAAAAATATTAATATTTATGGTACATAATTAATATCATTAGATTGATTATTGAATCTATTTTCATAATAAATTTATTTGGAAATATAAATGTTGCATGCTACAAATAATCTACTCAAACTTACGGCGCGGAAACAAAAAAAGACAGTTATTTAGGGACTAGGGGAGTAGTTGTTGAACTCCATACTTTCAATCGTCCAAACGACATTTGAATTCATTCTTAGAAAAGGATTCAATGTCATTTAAACATGGAGAATGAAGTGAATCAAATTGCTAGACCAGTTGGTCAAACCTTCGGGTGGCGTCCCCGTTACCAGAGTTCGAATCTTTGGTCACGTGAATTTTTGGTTGGCGGTGTGGAAAAAAACCACCTCACATGTCCTGCGTTCCCAAATCACAGATAAATGGATCAGCCCTCTCACTGGGTAATGGGCCCTGTGTGCGGCGGGGGGGCATGGGGTTCGAGGGTTTTCTCGGGCTGAATGAGAAGTCCTCTACCTTAAGCTAAAATAGCTCGAGGTGTCTATCCCGCAGCCCGAGTTTTACTAAGTTCAGTTTTTTTTTCTAATAGTACAAGGTAGACAGCGATAACTCACTAAAAGTATCACTAATGTACTCCTACATAAAAATATACATTTATATACAAGACGTGTTTACAAATTACAACCACAACTGCCCAGACAAATTTTACTTGCACGACTAACTTAAACTGAACGGATACAATCCTGACTCTTGAAATAAGCACACTGACGACGGGCTGACCTAAGCCACGATGCGTACTTTAGCCAGCGAGTGACTGGAGCGCGCCGAGTCACCTAATTGTCGTCCTCCACAACGATACCCTTGCCGTCTTCTTCAGCCTGTGCCCCGGCCCCCTGCCTTTGCAGCATCCTCCGCTTTCGCCTTTTCTAACGCCGTCACCAGCCTTGCGAGGCACGACCCGGCGTCGTCGTCGAGAGTCTTGGGTGTAAGAAGCTCGCCGACGTCGACAGGCGCCATGTTGACCTCCTGGAGCAACGCCCTAACGACGCCGAAGAGCTCGTGGCCTTCGACGTCCTCGTCGAGGTGCATCCTGGCCAGGAACCTGAAGGACTCGAAGTCGCAGTAGGACATCTCGATCTTCTTGTCCATCCGCCCCGTCCGGGTCAGCGCCGGGTCGAGCTTCTCCACGTGGTTGGTGGTGAACACGATGAGCCGCTCCTTGTTAGTTTGAATAAGTCAGTGTCCTTGATGTAATCTCGTTGGAACTGTTTACGCTTTCAGTAGTTTATATTATATGGCGTAGAATTGCGGGTGGCTGGTGCCGTGCCTAGTCCATGCCGTAACCGCCGTGTGGGTCTCCCCCGTCACGACGTCGCGCTGCGCATGCCCACGATCAGCGATCCGGTAAAGCAGGAGATCGTGGAGCTCGTCGTGCGACTGGGTGGTCAGGCTTCAAGCCCATGTATCCCTCTATGTAATGCAATGAAAAAGTCCAAGAAAAAGCTACGGCAGTTGTGCAGTGCAAACTTGTTGTGTTCATCCAGTTTCGCGTGTGTGCGTTCCAGCGTTCGTGCTCTCGCCGCGGTGACCGCGCTCAGTCGCCGCCGCTCCACCGTCGTTCCAGGGACCGTCCGCCACGGCCAGGTTCCAACAACTGGTACCAGAGCCGGTTGATGTTCTACGGTGGGTCGATAAGCCCACCCTGAGAACCTCCAAAGAAGAAGTTCGTGAAGGCGACTGAAGGAGGAGATGTGTGATGGTCCGAGCTCCGTCGCCGGCAGCGTCAAGGAGAGCTCCCTGGTTTGGCCAATGCTCACTCGCTCTAATTATGTGGAGTGGGCGATGTTGATGCAAATCAACTATGAGGCGATGGAGATCTGGGAGGTAATTGACCCAGACCAACGTCAAGCTGTCACAGGACCGACAGGACATGGGTGCTCTGATGAGATCTATTCCCAGGGAGATGTGGGGAACACTTGGCGCAAAGAAGACGGTGAAGGAGGCGTGGGAGACGGTGCAGACGATGAGGGTTGGAGCAGATCGGGTGAAGGAGATCAGTGTCTAGAAGCTTCTCAAGGAATTCGAGAACATCGAGTTCAAAGAAGGAGAAAGCGTGGAGGATTTCAGCATGCAGATCACCAACCTCGTCGCCACTCTCAAATCTCTCGGTGAGACCGTTGACGATCTCGTGTTGTCAAGATTTTTTTGCGTGTGCTGTCGTCCCGTTTCAATCAAGTTGTCGTATCCATCGAGATGTTCTGTGATATGAAAACATTGTCGGTGGAGGATTTTGTGGGGCGGTTGCGCGCTGCAGAAGATCGGTTTGAGGACAAGGTCGAGCAGATCACTGATAAAGTCGGGCGGTTGCTGCTCGCTGAGGAAGATTGGCTGGTAAAGCACAAGCATGATTTCAACAACCGGGGTCGCCGGTGAAGAAGGAGAATGGAGGACCAGGTGGTCAGGGCAAGGGCAAGGGCACTACGTAAATTTTTTTTGGCAACGGGACGAATTTTTTGTAGGGGCGGCTGATGATAGAGCCGCCCCTACAAATGATTGCCAAATGAGCCGCCCTTACAAATGAATTTGTAGGGGCGGCCGGTGTTATCAGCCGCCCCTACAATGGCCTGATTTGTAGGGGGCTCAATATCTGGCCGCCCCTATAAATTGATTTATAGGGGCGGCTCAATATTGAAGTGCCTCTACAGATGGACACCGAATATTAAAAAGTAAGCACTAAAATTCAAATTTTGTAAACGACCTTGGATGAAGAAACAATCAAAATGAAAGTTGTAGATCTCGAAAAGTTATGAAACTTTGTAGTTGATAACTTTTTCAGTTGAAATCATTTACTACTTGAAAATACTGTTTGAAATTATTGTTCTCGTTTTGTCCTCTAATTCGGAGCCAATTCTTAAAACTGGTATAGTTTTCGTATACGAACTCCGATTTCGACGTTCCATATATCAAAATCGATCAGAAAAAAAATTCAGATCCGTCCATCCACCGGCTTGTCGGGGTCGGAAGAATTTTAAATTGGTCAAAAACTGGTCACAAGATCATCTTTTCGTGGTCACAAGCTTTTTGTCGATTTTGAGCACGTCTTCTGAAATTTCCACATGCCACGTCTTTCACTTGTTTGAGATCATATTTTCTATGGTTATTTCATTTGTGCTCCTAAGTGAAGAAAAAAATATCAAAAAAATAAAAAGAAAAAGTCAAAATTTCTCTCAAAAAAAACAACGACAGCCCAAAAAGTAGAAAAAAAGAGGGGGCAAAAGAGGAACAATATCTAGAGGAGCACATAGAGAAGGCCAAACGTTATTTTGGAACACTAATTGATTTCAGATGAAAAAATCATGAACATAGAAGTTGCAGAACTTATCAAGATCTACAAGTTTTATTTTGATCATTTCTTCATCCGATAAAGTGGTAATAACATTGTTCACAAAATTTACATATCTCTCTTATAATTTCATAAACAATAAGAGGGATATGTAACATTTGTGAACAATGTTACTACCACTATGTCAGATGAATAAATGATCAAAATAGAAGTTGTAGATCTCGGAAAGTTATGAAACTCTATAGTTGACAACTTTTTAATTTGAAATCATCTTGTCAAGGAAAATTACGTTTGAATTTCTAAAATTTGAAATTTAAATTTTGTAAACGAACTCGGATGGAGAAACAACCAAAATAAAAGTTGTAGATCTCGAAAAGTTATGAAACTTTGTAGTTGACAACTTTTTGATTCGAAATTATCTTGTCAAGAAAAACTACGTTTGAATGTCCAAAAATTTGAAATTTGAATTTTTTAAACGACCTCGGATGGATAAACAATAAAAATGAAAGTTGTAGATCTTGAAAAGTTATGAAACTTTGTAGTTGATAACTTTCTCATTTGAAACCACCTTGTCATGGAAAACTACGTTCGAATTTCTCAAATTTGAAATTCAAATTTTATAAGTGATATCGGATGGAGAAACTACCAAAATGAAAGTTGTAAATCTCGAAAAGTTATAAAACTTTGTAGTTGACAACTTTTTCATTTGAATTAGTTTAGGGCCTCAGACAATCAATATATGCTCAGTTTTGTATAATACATGGGAAATTAAAATGGATTGTGGACATAAGTGAATGTGAGGTGTAGTGGTAGAGGAGATGGAGCGCGCGAGAGAGGTCGAAAAAATGCTGCAACCATAGAGTGAGGGTGTGTGTGGCTGCCGATGGGGACGTCCTCGGTTAAAAAAAATTGCTATTTTTTGCCCCTTTTTTCGTGGTTTCTAGAAATTGATTTGTAGAGGCGGCTCAATATCCAGCCGCCCCTATAAATCGATTTGTAGGGATAGCTGATAACACCAGCCGCCCCTACAAATCAGTGATTTTTAGCCACCCTTTCATAGGGTCGGCTGGCAAAACCGCCCCCCACAGAGGGTTACCGGCCGCCCCTAAAAACCTTTTTCTACGTAGTGGGGCAAGTCCGTGGCGCGCCAGGAACTGCAGAAGGGCAGTGTCGAGCTCACTTCAGAGGGCACTCTATGTCGTAAAGAGAGGTGCTGGAATTGTGGCATATATGGCCACTGGGCACAGGACTGCAAGCGCCCAAAGAAGGAGAAACATGAGGAGGCAAACCTTGCTAAGGCTGACGTTGATCAGGCGACGTTGCTTCTTGTGTCAGTTCATGACGTCGGGCTAAAGCAGCCTCAGATGGTGCATCTCCAAGAGAAGAATGTGATTCCTATTGAGTGCAAGGATGGTGTTTGGCATCTTGATACAGGAGCAAGCAATCACATGACTTGCATGCGATCTGTGCTGACAGGCCTTGATATGTCAGTGCACGGCATGGTGTGTTTTGGAGATTGTGACAGAACCGTCCAATTTATACAAGATCAAGTACGGCTGTCCCCGCTAACGCGTTGACACACACATACTTTCACTTATATAAACCTGGTAGTCCGCCGAGTGTCCCGAAAGACCTCGGTAAATCAACATCACAGCCAAGATCGCGTGATTAAGCAAATACACATCACATACATAGGGTTGCAGCGGAAATAATATTACATATGGGTTCACAAATAAAAGTATAAGTTTGGGTTTCAAAACCGCTTAGTGAAAACAACATAGCTTTCAAATAATTACATTAATATAAGTTCCAAATATATTGCTAGCATAAGTGACATCATCCAACAAAAGCATATAGATAAGAAGTAACTATAGAATCATCGAGCCCACCGGCGGTTAGCCACCATCTTCAACAGGCCGAGAACTCCACCTGCAACATGGTGGGATAAACCCTAAGTACTCGAATGTACTCAGCCAGACTTACCCGTCGAAAACCAAAACAAATGACACCAAGGATCATGCATAGCTTAATTTAGTGGATCTGACTGGACAACCTTTTTGCATAAAGCTTGAGTAACCATTAGCATTATTCACCTGTACTAGCAGTGACTTTTAGCCATTACCTACCATTTATATTAGCACCTGTACTAATCAATCACTTGATTAAGTTGCAAACAATAATAACCATATCAGGTATTTCATGGCTCATTGTCATTATCATCATCATCATCATCCTTTAACCATATCTTTAAATTTAGTGAATCTACGTTGCCGCTGCTCAGTCAAGTTCTCACTATCCGGGAGAGACGGCGATTCGAATCGATTCCTATCTAGCTGGAGGGGTATTCCTAAACACAAACCCTGCTTCCCCCGTCAGGGTCGCAAACGAGTCACCTTTGGTACGATTCAGGAGTCGCGAGTCCGAACAGATCGACATTCTCAGAGAACCACTCTGCCAAGGTTGTTCGGGACTCTAACCCGCCTTGGACTTATGCCAATGGCTCTCCGCACATCCTTACTACCTCCAGAATGCACGCCACTGCTCGCGTCCCCGGCCTGAGTCGAGCTACTAGGTTTCGCGGTCGGAACGACTTATCCGACCAGCTAAGTGTTAGGCTGCGTTCAACATGACATGAGGACGTACAGCGTATCGGTCCGTAAACGACACAGACGGGTATAGATTCACACTCAAGACCTCCATACCTTGTTGCTGCACTACCATCATCCCGTCCGATCTCTTTTTCATTATTAACACATGGTTCTTTTTTATGATAGCCATTATAGCCAACCGTGACCAGAGCTCATCC